CCCATGGCACAAGGCGCTTAGGCAGCCTCGGCCCCGGGCGCAAGGCACTGGGGCTGCCCCAGACCTGGCCCTGGGGCACATGCTGGCGCTGGGTGCAAGGGCATCCCCATCCCCTGGCGTGCCCCCGGATGTGCGGCCCCGCCCCTGGGTGCCCGGCACATGAGTGGCCCCACCCCCGGGCGCCCTGGAGCCTCCAAAGGTTGGGGACCACTGATGTAAGAGAAAGATGAATTGTGCTGTAATAATTGAATAAGTTGAAGGAATACTGTTTGTCTCTGAACAGGAAGAAGAAAAGTATGTTCATGTTGTTTGTAGCTATGCAGATCAATGTGCTAGCCAGGTGGCCCTGAGTTAACAGGAAAAGGAACATTAAGTGTTAAGCAGAAAGCAATTAAAATAACCAGGGAGATATGGACCAGAGATTACTGTGTGCTTGATGTTGAAATGAAGATACTTGACTAAGTCTCACACTAATCATGTGAAGTTTTGCCCCTCCTTTTAATCCTGTTAACTTGACTTTCTTTTGACTGTATAAATCAAGGGTTTTGAACCTTGTATGGTACTCACATTTTCTGGGTTAATTTAGCAGAGCAGCTTTGCTGAATAAACAGAGCGGTCTGACCAATCTGTGAGTCCTGTCTAACTTTGACAGGGGGGTTATTTTGAACTAACTCCCTTGTGTAGACCCGGTCTTTGTGAGTCAGCTGGGACCCCACTCACCCATCACGACAATCTTCACGCCCGGGCTTGATACTGGAGGGTTGCCATTGGAGGCCATGCAGTAGTACTCCCCCATGTCGGTCTCATTGGCTGCAGGGATTTCATAGACCATCCTCTGTGAGTGCTGAGTCTCTGTCCTCAGGGCCTGCCTGGATCCCTTCTGGTGCCAAGAGAAGGTGATTGGCCCTGTGCCCACCTCCACAGAACAGCTCAGCACCAGCTGCTCCCCTTCTGTCACCCGCCCCCCTTGGGGCTGGACCCCCAGGGAGACTCCGGACACCGGGATTCCTGTGTTGCTGTGACTGAAGGGAGGAGCTCGGTGCCATCCAGCCAGATGAGCACGTCTGCCCCCAGGTGAGGATGGAGATCCTGTGTGCAGAGGGACAGAATGCAGGGCCTGGGCCCACAGTATGGGTCATGGGGCCACATGCTCCCAGCACTGCAGGTCATGGGGCCTGGCGCAGCGATCTGACAGGAGATGAGTGTGGGCATCTTGCTGTGACTGAAGGGAGGAGCTCGGTGCCATCCAGCCAGATGAGCACGTCTGCCCCCAGGTGAGGATGGAGATCCTGTGTGCAGAGGGACAGAATGCAGGGCCTGGGCCCACAGTATGGGTCATGGGGCCACATGCTCCCAGCACTGCAGGTCATGGGGCCTGGCGCAGCGATCTGACAGGAGATGAGTGTGGGCATCACCAGAGATTGTGGGGCCAACATCCGCTGGTATCCGTACTAGGTGTGTTTATCGGTATAAATGTGAATATACTGAAATGTTGGCGTCAGTCCCACCCATGCCCTGCACTGCCTGAAAGTAACAAATCAGAACAATCCAAGACGATGTTAGCTGGCCCTGTTCCCTCAGGCCTTTCAAAGGCCAGATTGCCACACAAACTCAGCCCTCTGCATTCCCCAGCCTGGTCAGGTTCTCCCACAAGCTCTGCACGGCCTCATGCGCTCAACATGCTGTGCTCTTTTGGCCCTGTGCGAGCAGAGCTTATTTGACTCCAGCCACTGGGCTCTGAAGCTCTGTCTTGCACCATGGAATTCATCGGAGCTTCCCCGCTCCGCAGATTTCAGCCTGCAAGTGCCACTGGACTGTGGCAAGGGCAGGTTGGCCCCTTGTGGGCTCAGAAGCCACAGGAAGCTCTGTGTAGATTCCATGTTGTTTTCTTTCCATCCCAAGCCCCTTCCAGCATCCCTGTCCCAGACACTCACGTTTAACATCAAGCTTTAACTTGGAACTCTGTTTCTGTACACTTAAGGTCATCGTCTTCACCTCACAGTGGTAAAACCCTGAGTCTTCCAGGCCTGCCACTGGGATGTGGTAGTCAGGGGAGATTCCAGTTCCAATCGGGGCCATACTGTCTTTGTAGAAGACTCTTAGAAGCTGTATGTCTGATTTCTGTGGGTTGAGCTGTGTGAAACACCTCAGGGTCACCGGGTTTCCTTCTATGACGTCGCCTGAGCCTGTTATCTTCAGCACAGGAGACGAAAACAACTCTAGAAGGATATCAGATATAGTCACCACCAGTGTCCAGTGCCAGAGCCCAGGATGGGCTTTGGAAACTAGCATGTATTACTGGTAGACAGATGAGGATCTATCCCCTGCCCCACGTCTAATGGTGCTCCCCATCCCTAAAATCTCCCATCCATGAACCTGTCTCCCCAGGAGAGAACATTTCTGTCTCATTTGGAATCCTGATACCTAGCAACAGCCCCTCTTTGACTTACACACAGTCACCTCCCCTTTGCATGTAAACATGTGACCAGCAGTTACACGTTTACCAAAAAACCCACTTTTTAACATCCCTAGTAGGTAGCGTCTTCACTGAAGCACTACAGCCGAGCAGGTGCATTGATGCTGCTGCGTCCCTGTAGCATTTCTGTCTGGACAAACCCTGAGAGTGTCACAGTCAAATATTAGGTTGGGTTGGTGGTTCTGTGAGGAGCTGGTGATGATGAGCTTGGAGAGAGCCTGGGGAGCCATTTGAATCTGGAAGAGGAGATTTAGGAAGCATTTCTTTCTGGAATCTTTTAGCTGCCCAGAAACTGCCAACTCACAGCAGCACCAGGCTCTGCCAGAACAACAGGTCCAAAGCCTGTTATAGCTCCACGGCTACAATCATCAACACCCCTCACAAAACACTTGTCAAGATCCATGGGTCCTATCCAGGCCTGTCCCCTCATCCTACGAGGCATAACGGGGAGGTCGATAAAGGGCTTTCAGGTCGGCACGGGAGCGTCCAGACTAGCGCGCTGAGCCGACAAACAGTTGATCAGCTGTTTGTCGGCTCAGTTCGGCAGCCATTTAAATTTAAATGAAGCCGCAATTATTTAAATCGCAGCTTCATTTCCCTTTGCCGATCATCCTAATCTACATGGCTCCATCGATGGAGCCATGTAGTTTAGACACACCCTAAAAGGCATAGAGTGATATAGATGCTGAATTTACGGATTCTTACCCAAAATAGTTGCATCAACATTGTTTGACCTCACAATCAGAGAAAACCAGGGTGTTGTATCAGTCATCCCCACCTCTCCCTGCCATTTCTCCTCGCATATCCATTGTGAGAGTCCAACTGAAGCAAGTTGGCAATTTTACCTATCTTGGCTACAACATCTCCAGTGGTGGATCTCCTGACAAAGGCTACAGAAAGCTTCTCAGTCACTAGGAAAGCTAACTAACAAAGTCCTGAATTCCCACAACATAACTCCATCAACAAAAATATAACTTTTCAATGCTTTTTGATCTCTCTTCAGCTGTAAGACCTGGCCACCGTACAAAGGGCATGTCAAATGGCTAGAGGTCTTCTATATGAGGTCTTTTTATACCATTATGGGGATCCACTGGCAAGACAAAATTACCAGTCTGGCGGTTCTCCAAAAGTCAAATGCCACAAGTCCAACCATGTAGGGTTTGACACATCATTAGGATGCCTAAATGTAGACTCCCCAGAAATTTTTTTTACAGATTTGGCACAAGGATAACAGGATCAGGGCCGCTCCAGAAAATACTACAAGGACAGCTCCAAGAACAGCGCATGCTTTTGGTGCAATAAAACTGGACGATTTCAAATCGAAAGGCCTCGTGGTACACACCACTCAGAGCTACCCAAGCTTTGAAGAGGACAGAAATAATCAGTTGTTAGCAGCAAGGGAAAAGTGCCTTACCACTGCTGTAGCTACTAAGATGCTCACCAATGACTTTGTCTGCCCGACCTGCTCACCAGTATGTGCGATACAGTTGGGACTTGAGAGTCACTCCAGAATCCACAAAAAGAGAGTGTGAAAACATCCTTGTCGAACCACTGGACTATGCAAGACAAGAATCTACAGCCCACTAACCCCACTCCTCATTTACCTCTCTGTCTGGAGGAGTCTTAACTGAGCCATTTCACCTTGAATAGTCCCTTGAAATGTGCTAACTCCTGATACTAAACCATCTTTCCCACCTTGTATTTATATGTGACATTCTCAGTGCCTTTCCCAACCCTGAGGAAGAGTTCTGTGTGGCTTCTATCTCTCACCAGCAAAAGCTATCACTTTACCCTCACTTGTCTCTCTAGCATCTGGGACCAACAAGGCTACAGCGCTGCATAGAAGCCCACAAGAAATTTGGTAGAAATGTAGCCGTGTTAGTCTGGTGCAGCTGAAACAAAATACAGGACTATGTAGCACTTTAAAGACTAACAAGATGGTTTAATAGGTGATGAGCTTTCGTGGGCCAGACCCACTTCCTTGATCTGAGGAAGTGGGTCTGGCCCACGAAAACTCATCACCTATTAAACCATCTTGTTAGTCTTTAAAGTGCTACACAGTCCTGTTTTTTGTCACAAGAAATTTGTCTGCCTACAAACACCATCTGCTGGATAGTGATGGAAGCAGCTGAAAATGGAGAGCTGACACTGGAGTGCCAGATAGAAATAACAGGGGATATAACCTGTGACCACATGTGGATCTCAGAGATTTGCTAAACCTGCCCACTCCCACCCAAACTCACCTCCCTATCACAGTCACAGCCTGAAGCAGGGTTGACTGAACTCACTAATAAGCTGCCAAACCCAGAAGTGTGACCAACGCCCGGACAAGCCGGGTGGAAAGGGACCTCCCCTATTCCAGGGCTACCAGGCGAAATGATGAGATTTCATTTCCACAATTGTATTGCTCCTGCTATCCTTTAATATGACAAACTGCAGAGTCTGTGCTTTTTTGTGAGGCTACTGTCATGTGCAGGGTCTCCAACGCAAGTCCCAGCAAATGGGCCCAAGAGAGATTTAAAACAATACCTTGAAGCAATTGCTTTTGGAATTTTAAACTTGTCCCTTTCATGGGAAACCATTTAAACAGCAGGGACGGACGACTTTAAAAATGCCTTTCAGACAAGTGTGTCCTGACAGTGTGAGAAATGTATTGGAGGGACTAAAGAACTGACAAAAGTAAGAAAACGTCATAAGAAATTTCCGCACTATTCCTCAATGAGTCTCCACACTCGCCTACGACTGTTGCAAGACTGTAAAGGTATGTCCAGTCCATGGCTAGAACATTGATTGCAGGGTTAATGGTAGATGGATGTGGCCCTGAGTGAATTCATAAATTATTGATTGGTTACAAATAACCAACTGACCTCATGTGAGAAATTCTGTCCCAGGCAAAAGTTGACCTGAAAAGAGTCTAGCATCGAATTGCTCACCACTCCCTGGACTCTCCAGAAGGGGTTATCCTCTTTAGATCCCATCCCTATATTGGCTACAGTGCTTATCACATTGCTGGGTCTGAGCTTTAAAATCAAGCCAGCACCTCGGCACGTTCCTAAAATGGCTCCATTTCACGCTGACGCCCCTCCCTGCCTGCTGCGCTGTAACGCTGCTGCTCCTACAGCGAGAGGTAAAGGGCTGGATTTTGACCTCTGTACAGATGTGGCAGCCAGTGCAGTTAGGCCAATGTCAAAGCATGGGTGAAGTGGCACTTAGACCATTTACAGCGAGGGATAAGAATGAGTGAGCACTGTGGAGCTTCATGGGTGGTGGGTATGCTAGGCAGGGGGAGGCGTTGCCTTCCCAAACTTCCAGCCTGGCCCCACCCATGCTATGCCCCCAGAATGCCTACTAGGGGCAGAGAGGCTTGGGCTGTGCACCACCCGCCCTCCCTGTGCCCCAGGGCTGGGGAACCTGGGCCTCATGTTGCCACACCCATCCGAGATGCTGGGGGCAGGGCCTGGGCAGAGGGGGTGGGGTCTTGAGCAGAGGAGGCAGGCTTGGGAGTTTGCCTCCCCTAGCCCTACCTTCACCCACCACCCATGGCAAGGGGAGACCAGACTGAGGACTAAAGACACTGGGCCAAATTACGACCCTCCTAATGGCATCTAGCTAAAGGCCAGGCCTTCCCCTCCAAGGGAGCAAGGGGCAGGATGTCCCCTGCTTAATGTGTGAAGAAAGAAGTGCCGGGCTCTAGCAATAGTGAGGGCGTCCTTCGCACCACATGACCTCACCCACACCGTGTGTGTGAGGTCACACCTTGCACTGCTGACACAAGAGACACCAGGACTGAGCCCTAGTGCAAATTAAGCTCTGAGTACGTTCTGTGTGCTAGGATTGCCCCTTTCTGCCCAGTCCCCCTCATTCACAACAATTCCTCACCTTGGACAGAAATAGATGCCACATGAGAAGTCTCTGCAGCCATAATGTTCATAGTATTTTTTATGCGTCCGCTGCAGTGATATTTGCCACTGTCACTTGTCCTTGCTTGTTTGATGGTCAGCACTGAGTTCTCAGGGTATAGTCTGATGTCTTTTCCATCTTTGTAAAATCTTATATTAGACACAGTGTCTCCCTGCCATCCACAGCACCTCAGGAGCAGTGGGTCCCCTTCGAACACTGCATAGTAAGGGACCTGGAGAATCAGCCAGTCTGAAAGACAAGAAATCCAGAGCAACAGCCCCAGGAGATCATGGTGTGACCTACTAGGGGTGGTTCATCGTCGCATGGAGTGGCTCTTAGACCAGTTACAGAGCGAGAGAGTGAGTCTGCTCTATGGCCATAGCTGAGAGCCTGCTGGCTTTTAACTCAACCCATGGAGGCTCATGCACTGAGGTCCCAGGTTTGGTTCCATTATAAGTGGGGTCTGGTGAGTTGCAGGCTGCACTGAATGGTTGAAGGAAAGGAGAGCCAGACAAAAAGATTCCCTAGGCCACAGGTTAAAGTGAGCCACAAGAAAATCCATTCTAGCCCTGGAAGAGAGGGGCAGTGATGAGTCAAAGAACAGCAAGAGGGGTGAGCCCAGGCTGACAGAGGGGGAGGCAGGAGATGGTGGAGAGGTGGGGTCTGGTGAGTTGCAGGCTGCACTGAATGGTTGAAGGAAAGGAGAGCCAGACAAAAAGATTCCCTAGGCCACAGGTTAAAGTGAGCCACAAGAAAATCCATTCTAGCCCTGGAAGAGAGGGGCAGTGATGAGTCAAAGAACAGCAAGAGGGGTGAGCCCAGGCTGACAGAGGGGGAGGCAGGAGATGGTGGAGAGAA